GCTGTTTCTGGACTCTTCTCAAATTATTCACTTATCTATACTACTAATAGTAACTAGTTCCAGATTGAAATTCTTGTTTTTGAATTTCCTCTAGTGAAGTTTTTTTCTAAACTATGATGACATTAGTATACTTTACTACTTCTTAATATTGCTAGCTTATTAATACAAATTTATCATAGATTCTCGTGTTTTTATTGGAAAAATCTTTGATCAAGTTTTCCAGAAAAAACACTAATAATAGTAGTATTTAGAAAAAAAATTAAAACAGACTTCGGATTCAGGTTTCTGATCCTCAATTTCTCCTTTTCGAGTGTTGTAAAAAAATATTAATGATTAATAATTAAAACAGACTCCAGCTTTGGGTTCTCCACCCTCAATCACCTTCGGCAAAGTTTTGTCAGAAATATAAATGATTAATAATTATGTAATAATACGTTCATAAATAAAACCGGCCTCCGATTCGGATTGTCCACCTTCGATTACCTTTGGTCAATTTTTTTGAAAAAAATTAATAATTATTAACCAGTTAATTATTAATTAATAATTAATCAATTAAAACTGACCTCAGATTTGGATTCCTTACCCTCAATTACCTTTGGTTCATTTTTCTATAAAATATTAATAATTAATAATCAATTAATTAAAATCGAGCTCGGATTCGTATTCTTCACCCCGAATTACCTTTAGTCACGTTTAATAGAAAACATTAATAATTGATTAAAATTAACCACAGATTTGAACTTCCCACCCTCGATTACTGTTTGATCAAGTTTTATGAAAAATAATCCCTTTTATTTTCATCTTATTCTTGGACCAATTAGTGAAGTGAGAACATACTATCAAGCAACCAAGCAAACAATTTATTCTTGCTAGACAGTTCTCTACGAGAAAGAGAATAATCTTGATTATTTAAAGATAAAGTTTTTTTGTTCTACATTTTCGTTTCAGGTAAAACTCATCGTATCAACAAAGAATATAAGACTGATCATACATTATGTTTTAGTATTAACGATAAATTAAATCTTTCATTATTAATTAGTTCATTTCTTTTATTTGATTCAAATATGATTAATAATAATAATAATAATCCATCGATTTTTTTCAATATATCTATTCATGCACCATTTGAAACATTAAATCGAATATTATTTTCACTTTTTATTTGTGGATGTTTAAATGATCCAATTAGTGGTCTAATCTTTTCTTTATCAACTATTCAAACATGGAAATTTATTATTGAAATTCCTTATTCAGATGTGTCTGGTGTTGATATTCAAGAAAATTTCAATCAAATTTTACCCATTCTTTCTATTATTTCACCATTAACATTAGAAGAAGTTACTAATGAAAATTATCAATTATTAATTGATAAAGAAGAAGAACTTGTAGCAAGATTTTTAAAAGCATTTGAAAATGGAACTATTGATCGTATGATAACAATAACAAAAACTGGTCGTGAAATACCTGTTAGTTTTGAACCAATAACTAATATTAATGAATGTCGAACATATATTTATAATTGTATTCAAAAATATGCTCCAGAATTACCAAAAAAATAAAATCTATGAAGTTTCATTTACTAAATTTTTATATCGTCGTATACGTTTTTTTCAAGGATATTATTATTCTTGGAATGATAATATTGAACATTTAGGTAGTATTACTATACAACAAATGATTAATGAAGCAAAATTTTTAACACAAATTAATTTTCAAAATAATGATTATCCTCGTGTTTATCTTATTTATGATCCAGGATTTTCTTTACATTTATTACATGCTGATTGGAATTATGTTTCAAATGAATTAAAAAGTTTTTTTAATAATCATGATCCATTTAAAGATATTGAATATCAAAATAAAGATTATTTTGTTGAATGTTTATCATGGTTAATTAATATTAAATATGAAATATTTATGAAAATTATTTATGAAACAAAATTTATTTTAACAGAAAATTTTGCTTATAAACTTTTTCATATACATGAAAGAAAATTAACTAAATTAGCATTAATTATTGAAGGTGATACTGGTTTAGGTAAAACATTTCTATTAAAATTCTATTCATTATTATTAAATTCAAAAAATACACATGATTCTCTTCAAGGAAATATTATTCCAACAATTATAGAAAATTCTAGTCAATTTCTTCTAAATATTATTGAAACAATTGTAGAACAACAAGCAAATATTTTGAGTATATTTCTTCAACGAATTAAATCAAAAATCTTAGATTTAGAAAATGATGATGAACTTCCAAATCAAAGACCAAGACAAATACCAGTTCTACTTACAGCAGAACAACAACAACAACAACAACAAAATAATGTACCAGTTGATAGTGTTCTATTAAAACAAGTTAAACTTTCGTTAAAAAAATATCAATTAAAGAAGAATACTTTATATTATATTTGGGAAACAATTCTAGATGTTTCAAGTGAAAATCCTATGGCTTCAACAACAACATTAATTCAAAAATTACATGAGTATATTATTAATGAATTAGCTAATTATCCATTAATTGAAAGTAGTTCTCGATTGAAAAGTTTACTTCAAGAAATTTCTTCACCTACGATTGAAATATCGATTGAAAT